TCTTTTTCTATGGTTTCAACTATTTGTTGTTTCAATTTTTAATTTCTTTTGTTACTCAGTAATGTTGTTTCAATTATCGACCAAGCATAAATAGAACCAGAACCAAACATAGTGATAATAACTAATCAGTAAAGAAGGCTTATATGTTTAGAACTTTTTGTGGGGGATATATACAAAGAAGGCTTATATGTTTAGAACTTTTTGTGGGGGATATATACATGTGGCAATTACAAAAATACCACTTTTTGTGTGCACATTTGCAAGAATGCCACTTAGAGGTGTCCATTTACAAAAATACCACTAATTATAGATTTATAAAGCCTATATCTTAAAATTCTAAACCCTAAAAAATGTTTTGACATCTAAAACCCCTTAAACACTCAAAACTAAACCCTAATAGAACATAATTAACCCAAACATAAATAATATAAAGAAAAAATAATTTTGAAAAAGTGGCATTTTTGTAAAGATTTCAAAAGTGTGGCATTTTTGTAAAGTGACACTTGAAATGTGGCATTTTTTGAAATTTCTCTACATCATCATACAAAGAAGGCTTAGTTTGGTGGATATATATATTAATATATCAACTATTCATTTACATAATTTTCAAAAAAAAAAAAAAACTATTCATTTACATATTATTTTTGATAGGTCGCAAATAAATTTTGAAATATTTAACTGATCTAGGTCTTTAACAAACAAAAAAAAGTTTAATTGGTCTAAGGATTATGCTAAATCATTTAGAGTTCATTGGTCAAATGACCATAAATCGAAAAAAAACTAACAAAACTACCATCAATTTTTTCTTAGTCATGCCATTAATTTGCAGTCTCTTTTTTTTTAAAAATGACATAAAGTAGTATACTGGAATCCACGTCTGTTAGTAAGTTCAACAGATTTTTCTAAAATCAGCCAACTATCCGCAGAGTCTATCAATAAAATCGCAGTATTTGACAATAAAATTCAAGACTTAATCTAAGTGTGCTAGTAAATTTAGATCACTTTCGTAAAGTGCCAAATATATACAGAATCTACCAATAAAATGAATAAAATTAGTCAACTAATATAATTGAGAGAAAATCAAACAAATGCTTCAACGGAGCATTAAGGAGAAAATCAAACACTCTATGCATGATGCTTAACTCAACGGAAAACTTTATGACCCATAAATTCAACAAATAAGCCTAAGAAAATGATCCAGTTTGCTTTAGGTGTTTTGCATTTGGACTTTGTGTTTAGATCATAATTTTGAGTGTAAAACATACTTAAATTACTCTCAAATTTGAGTTTACATCTCATGATCTAACAGAA